AGCCCAGCGACATGACTTCTTCCAGGATCTCAACATGGACCGAGGCTGGTGGATCTGAAGCCACTGCCATGGACGTTGACTCTGAGAAGAAGGAAGGTGCTGATGCTGCCCGGAAGGGTGTGCCAACTGACACTGCGGTTCCTGAGGCTTCTGCTTCTTCCGAACAGCCTGCTGACAAGACTGCCATTGTCGACCTGACCAAGACCGAGAAGAAGGTGGAGGTTGACAAGCCAGTTGGAAAGCCGGCCGAAAAGAAAATGCCGAAGAGTGAAAAGCAAAAGGCACCAGAGTCCAAAGCGCAGCCCAGACAGAAAGCGCCGCGACTCAGTGTCGAAGCTGATGCAGCCCTTCGCAAGTTGGAAGAAGCAACGGAACGCCAAGAGGGATCAGTATGGTTGGACCCCAATGACATGATCAACAGGATCCCCAAGGAGTATTGCGGCCAAGGGCGACTGAGATTTCTTTCCACAAAGTTATCTTATGTTCTCCGTGGACACGCATTGAGCTATGGTGCTCGCAGCCCAGACATCGATCCCATGGATCTTTCGATGGATTTCGAGGCGGTGATGAAGACGATGGCCCACTATGTCTCCTACCCGAAGATCAGTGAGGTCCTGTCCATCGTGCGCAACAGTGACACCAGGCGCTTCCAGGTGAAAGTGGCCCAGCCCGATTTGCCTGAAGCAACCTGGAAGGGTTTGCCATGGAAGGTTGTCGCCATCAGAGCAGTCCAAGGACACAACCGTGCAGTGGTGGAAAATGCCAAGATTTCATCGCTGGTGAAGGAAGTGTTTACTTTGGATCCAACCTTCACCAAGGCCGACCTCGACACGCCCAAGTTGCCGAGGACAAACCTTCGTCCAGACCTTGTGCCGGAGTTGATGGCTGCACTCCCAAGGGTTATCTACCATAGCTGCGACAGGCTCGCTATGGAAAAGATAGTTGAACATGGTCTCATCCCAGGTGGCTGGCCGCAAAGAACAGGAAGGGCGCATAATTTCTTTATTGCGTCGCATCCATGGGATGATTCAGTCGGTGGCAGAAAGCTCGCGGGAACGCGAGCCGGGAAGCAATATTACATTGCCTTTGACACCGAGCTCATCGTCCAAAGCGGCTGCCGATTGTTTCGCACAGACGAAGCAATCATAAGCCCTGACTGGATCTCCAACGAGAACATCATTTGCACATATGATGCTGTCAACCGGGAGTTTGCCTGGGTGAATCGCCCCTATGAGATCACACGTGTGGGGTACAACAGCAAAATGAAGACCCACAAGGACCAGGACACTCCGAAGAAAGAAGCCTTGTCCAAGAGCCCGTATGCCAACGCCAGGGACAGTCTGAAGGCCTACCTCATGAGCGGCAAGTCCATTCGACCAGGCCAGATGCAGATGACCGACTCTCCGGAAGAGCTTCCCCCACTTCTTCGTCGACGTGAAGGAACTTCAGGACCCTTTGAAGACAAGGTGACGTTGAAGATGGCCTCCTTTGGTGCTTTGTCCAATGCTGAAACCATCCGCAAGGGCAAGGGCCGGGGAAAAGGCAAGGGAAAAGGAAGCCGCCCGGGAGGGCTGGCCCAGCGCTCAACAAATGCTGAGGATTACATCTACAGCTCAAAGATTGAGATGCAGCAGGTCAGATGCCACTTCTGCGGTGAACAGAACATTGAGGGCACCCACAAGTGTCAGTCGTGCTTCAAATGGCTGATTGCTTGGTCGGATGGAAGAATTGCGACAGAGGTATGCCGGATGGAAATCTCGGCCAAGAAAACCAATAAGGTGTTTTCCCTGGACAAGATCGATTTTGAGAAGCAGCCACGTGCTCAGCGAGTTTCTGACCGCACCCGAGCAGATCAACGTCGAGCTGGACGAAGTAACTTCGGAAATCTCAAGGACGCTGCTCAGACACATGCGGGAAGATACACAAAGCTCGGCTTCAAATCGATCCAGGACCGCATGGAGAAGGACCCATTTTATTTGTTCAACAATGCGGTTGGCCAGATAACCCCTGACTGTTGTCAGTTTTTGGAGGATCTGGCAAAATGCATTGCCCCTGATGTTGGCCGTACCCGAGAGAAGCGAGAAAAGCAGCTGGGAACAGGTGTCAGCACTCGTTTGATTTTTATGCCTGACTTCAACAGAGACATCCGACTCCCGTTGGACGTTACCAAGGAAGCCATGGTTGCACATCATGCACGTGTTTTTACACTCCCACAATTTGCTGTTCTTGCTGCGGACTTGCTGAAAGCGAGGGGGGAACCCACGCCGATGTTATTTGGTTGGTCTGGCTCAGTGTTACCTGTGGATCAGGCTTCAGCCCAAGATTGTTTCTTTGACCTCGTCGACTTCGCGAAGAGGCAGTGGAAGGAACAATATAATAACATCAAGGGTGAAGAGCACTCCTTCGTGGATGAAGCCACCGCATCAGATGTGGCTGAGTTTCCATTGGCAAGGTCCTCCAAGACGGGTACTGGCGAAGGGCGAGAGGGATACCGGCGTCACTTTGACCCGATCCAGAAGCCAGCCAAGGGCAAGGGCAAGGGTTATGGTCAGCAACAACGACCAATCTTTCAGCAGGCCATTGAGTGCTGGAAGTGCGGTCAGTATGGCCACAAATCCTTTGAATGTCGCAGTGGATGGAGCCGAGGGCAACAGTGGGGTTCATATGGATCTTACTCAAGCCGCTCGGGAGGGCAGGCCCAATGGCAAAGCTGGAATTGGAATCAGGGCTACTCTGGCCGAGGTTGGACTGCTGATCCTTGGGGGAGATCGACAGCATCGAGCTCCTCGGCAGCTCCTCCGGAGCCAGTGCAGCCACCTCCAACGGCAACGCCTGTGCCTGACACAACACCATCTGCTGGCGATTCTGCCCAAGCTGCCTCTGGATCAACCCCTGCAGCGGAGCCTCCACGACAGGTACCTCGTGCACCAGTTGTGATTGCCGAGGAGTACTGCGAGATCAACGGCCAGCCACACTTCAAGCGCACCTACAATGATGGGACGGTAGAATTTGAATCTTGGTAGATGTTTCACATCTCATGCCATGATTTTATGCCTACCGGAAGGTTTGGCCGATTGGATGAAAGCTGACCTATGGTCATTCAGTTCAATCGAATTGCACATATTTCCAAAACTTGAAATTTCAACTTGATAAACTTTTCCAATTGCTTCAAAAAGAGTTTGACATCAGCATCCGATCCGTTGCGGTAGTTGCACGTGTACAGATGCCGTGTAGGTTAGCCTGATAAAGTAGTTTCCGAACCAAAGGCAATTGAAAGGAATGGTAATGTTCCTATGCCTTGGCGGAAGCCAGGCCAACTTCACTTTTGTCTCTGTCAAACATGTGCCGTGCCTGGATTGAAAAGCAGATGCATCCGAACACCTTTTGCCTCATGCATTCGAGCTATGACCATTTTCGCATAACATTAGGTAGTTGTATGTACAGTGATGTCTGTGTTTGCCCGCTCTCAGGTCACCTCTGGCGGGCTGCTGCTTCCGGCCTCCGTTAATCTGCGGACGGCGGGGGGTGTTTAATATGAATACCCCTGTACATACTGTATTAATTCATCTACCTACGTTATGTTATGGCTCAAGAAAACAAGCGCGTATTGCTGTTCGTTTGTGGCGTGTTAGCCTGTAAAACAGATATAACTATAGTTACTGGGACCAACTTATAACTGGGGGGCCCCATCCTGTAGAGATATACATAGAGATTTACGTAGATTTTTTGCACATAACTAAGTTTAACTATGTACTATGTATGCATAACTATCTATCTATCTGTCTGTCTGTATGTAATGTAATGTAATGCAATGCAATGCAATGTAATGGTATGTAATGGTATGTAATGTAATGTAATGCAATGCAATGGTATGTAATGGTATGTAATGTAATGAAATGTAATGTAATGTAATGCAATGGCATGTAATGGTATGTAATGTAATGTAATGCAATGGTATGTAATGGTATGTAATGTAATGTAATGTAATGCAATGGTATGTAATGGTATGTAATGTAATGACATGTAATGGTATGCACTGGTATGGAATGTAATGTAATGTAATGTAGGGTGGTGTAGTGTATTGTAGTGTATGCATGTATGCATGTATGCATGTATATATGCATGTATATATGCATGTATGCATGTATGCATGCATGTATGCATGTAATGTAATATAAAGTAATGGAATGTAATGTTATATTATGTAATATAATGTAATGTAATATAATACTTTCATGCAATTTAATGTAATGTAATGTAATGTAATGTTATCTATGTAATGTAACTCAATTTAATGTAATGTAATGTATGTATGTATAAATATGTATGAGTATGTATAAATATGTATAAATATGTATACATATGTATAGATGTATGTATATATATAGATATGTATGAATATGTGTATATATACACACTAGATTAGCTGGCTGAATTATGAGGACGCCTCTGCGACGTCACTTTTCAAGGTAAAACCATCCCGACATGAGTCGCATCGAGGGGGCGCAGGGAGTCTGCAGAAGTTGGGCTGAACTGGACATCATGGTGGTTTGGGGGCTTTGCATTGAAAGATCTTCCGAAGGATGTAGTTTGGATTGGACATATGAGCTGTTGGGGTCTTCAAGTACAAGCGCCAATTAGACATATGCCATGCTTCATTAGCTGGTGACTGGCTGTAGGTGGCTGGATTGGTTGGGTTGGTTCGTTGAAGGTACTGCAGTAAACCAAACATTAGCTCCCAATTTGGTAAGGTCTTTAAACCTTCAATTGATGAGACTTAGGGCATCGTTTCTTGGTTTGGGGTTGGTTAGAATCCCTTTTTTTCAAACAAATGTCAGCTTGCAACATCTGCAAAATGGTCAAAAATGATGAACTCCAAACGCTTTTCAAGTCATGTGAAATCTCCATTTGTTTCTTCAAAATAAGGTTTTCATCCAAATTTCACAATGTTTGTCGCTTCAAGCTCCCATCTTTTCGTTGGTTTCCTCGATGCCGTTGAGGTTCCCCCGGCTGGGCACCGACCCCGACGACCGGCGCCGTGGGAGCCCGTCGCCCGCGGCATCGCCGCGCGCGGCATCGCCGCGCTCGCCGGCGTCCAATGTGTCGCCGCGGAACCTGTCGCCGCGGCCATCGCAGGACCTTTGGAAGATCCAATGGAAGCGGCCACTGGTGCTTACTTGGTGGCGAACTAGCCACGAATCGTAAGTGGGTTAGTTCACCCCAGTGATTTACATGGGATTTTTGTAGGGTTAATCCACTGAAATCACTGGGGTTATAACATGTTATAACCCACTTGCTAAGTGGGATGAGCCACCAAGTAGTAGGGAATTTTCGGGAATGATCCATTTCATCACTAGTAATAATCCCATTTCCCCAGCAAGCCATCCATTCCCTACTAAGCAACAGTAAGGAAGCAGTTGGGTGAAAATTGACAAATGGGGGTTTATTCAAATGTGCCCATCTTCAAATGGTTAAAAGATGTAAAAACCAAACATTTTTTGTATCCAGATTAGTCATCAAGCAACCATCTAATTCATCGGTGATATGGGGGTTCTTCAAATGGAATATACCGTATACCCCAATAGCTGGATGGTTTATAGTGGAAAATCCGAACTATAAATGGATGATTTAGGGGTACCCCCATTTCAGAAAGCCTTCAAATATGGAAAATAAAAAACATAGAAAAACAGAAGATCGCTGGAAGCAAATCAAGCAAGGCAAATGTTCACTGAAATTGATGGGATACAACTAACCACATGGGGATTAATCTGGGATATAATGGTGATAATGGCTACACCATGGGATACTGATGGGAAAATCATAAGATAATAATGGGGAATTATGGGATAACTGGAAGAAACCATTTCATAAACCATTGATTAATGGGATGAAAAAAGGGGGTTTCTGAAGTCATTTTTGGGGTCCCCCAAGTTGCCAGAACGGTTGCAATACTAAGTCATGGTCACCCATGACTTGGCAGGGGGGGTACCGGTAGTACCCCCATTTTAGGAACCCATTGAAATATGAAACAACAAACATGTTATCCATTAGAAATATGATAACCCAATAATTCGGAACATATTTTTTTGGGGGTTACCTAACACAATAACAATATGATAATCCAATAGAAGAAATGTTGTCTTGCTAGTTATTATCATTATCATTATCATTATCATTATCATTATTATCATTATGAGGATTATCATGATTCCCAGAATGAGTAACAACAATAACAATAACTATTATTAATCGTTATTATTACTACACCATGTTTTTGTAATTTTTCTTTTTTAACACAGAAACTGGCTGATTGGCTGGTGAAACTTGATTTTGGGTTGTGTTGGGAAACTCAAACAATGATTCATGAAATATTCATTCCTAAGTTATTCTATGACTTTGCAATTTGAAGGTTTTTTGGCAGTCAGCCCAGAACGAGGTTTAGTACTTATACCTCTCCCATATATCTGACCATCCATGGGATTTTTCTGGACCCTAACATGGAGCTTGAAGGTACCATCTTTTGGGCAGAACTTACTGGCAAATCCCCTAAAATGTCCTCCAAAAAATGGGCCTGATTTGTGGTACCTCCAATAAAAAAGGTACCTCAAATGGCCATTGAATTCCTGCCTACTTAGCTAAGTTGATTTATAACTTGGATAACTATGGAACTACTAAAACTCCAATAACCATGGTCATCCATGGTTTATGATACGTCTAACTATAGTTATCCATATGGGGTTTACAAAACATCAAACATCACTGGGGAACCCGGTGAGGCGCTGTCTCCGCGGCTCTCGATGTCTTCCTCCATGTCTGCGTACGGAGCAAAGATAACTGGGAAGGGCACCCTGAAATCATGAGATTTTGATGTTTATAGGATGGAGATATTTTCTAGAACTTTTGTGTTCACACTTGGAATTTCTGATATTTTATAGTGACCCTCAGGGTTCTACATGAGGAGTTTCAATGAGTTTCACAGAAATTTTAAAGAGTTGCAGCATGCATTTGTTGCGACAAACACATTTCTGAAGTGCTTCCACGATTGTCAGAAACATCCACTACATTTGTGATAATGTATGTACCTTTCCAATGCGGCACCGGTATCCTTTTTCACTTTGCAAAAGGCAACCACTTGCCGACCATAAATTCACAGTCCCCTCAAATCAATGGCCATTTCAGGATCCTAGATTGGAGGTACCTACCATATATAAGGCCTATGTAAGGCCTATGTAAGGGAATCTCCCCACAAAATATGGCCTTATATGCCTCCATTTTAGGATCCTGGAATTCCCATTGATAAAATCACATCCATGGAGCGTTGAGGTTGTTGAGCCCCCGTGATCGCTTGCGAAGTTGGGATTTGAACATCGCCAGCTATTCCAGGGAGGCCGATCGCCGATCTGGAAGGGATCATCCAAAAAAAAAAAAACGCTAGTAGGAATAATCCTTTGACTTGACACCGTAATCTTTACCCTCTCGTAAACTAACATAGCTATGGAAAATCACCATTATTAGTGGGAAAATCAACTATAAATGACAATTTTCAATTAGAATAACCGTTGGTTATTTAACATAGCCATGGTATAGATGGCCCATAGAAATAGATGATTTTCCTATTAATACCTCCATTAAAATAGGATTGGATAAATCACGTCCTTTACAAAGTAGTAGGATGATAGGATGAAGATATAATCCTATTGATGATTACAATCATTGATGACTACAATCATAAATACACAAAGTAAAGTAGTGTGATGATCGGGATTAGCATGAAAAACACTTACAGTACATGGAGGGACCGACTCATTGGCAAAACGCGCAACTGCCAGATGGCCAGTGATAAGGGGATGGGTCAAAACCTTTCTTGTTACGATTTTTTACGGGAATAACCATCCAGCTATACCAGGCTTCCCATGGTTTTGACAAAAATAGCCATATGGGAACGGTGATGATACTGGCGTCAGACATTTTTTTGCCATGGTTTTCAAAGATGGAGTACACAGCAATTTTTTCGGGGTGTTTATCAATCCATTGATAGGGGGTAATGAACCATATACATCCATAAACCATATACCATCTGGTTATGACTAACAGTTCGCCATGGAAAGATCCACCATGATATTAATAGATAAACCTCTATTTCTATGGGCTATTTCCAATGGCTATGTCAGCCATAACCAGAGGGTTTTTTCTGTCTTCTGACCATGGCACACTAGTGATGTTGACAAAGGACTAGGCCGTGGCGGCGGCCTGGCATCCATAGTCCCATCTCCCATGGTATCCTCAAACAGATCCACCACATAAACCAATGGTTGGTGTACCCTCTGGTTATGTCAAAATAGCTATTGAACATGGCCATTTATAGTGAGTTTTCCCATTAAACATGGTGATTTTCCATAGTTATGTTAGTTTACCAGAGGGTATCATTCCCCAAAAATTCTCCCAGCATCTTCACAGATGTCTGACCATAGTTGGGGCGGCCAGCCATGGCCCGTTAGGATCCAAAAAAAACCAGGCTTTGAGTCACAAAACCACTGACATGATCTCTGAAGTCCAAATGCTAGGTCTGCCAAGTGTCGTTCACCGGGCCACCCTCTGGTAACCCAATGTGGCAATGGAACACCTCCCAAAAATCGTTCGTTGAAAAAATCGCTTTGGGAAGCTCCATTTTGGGATGGAGATTTCCCGATAATCGCCATCTTTTTTTTTAAAATCATTCTATACATTGGATTTTTTCATCCCCTCTATAAAATCAACATGGTACCTATAAAATGGGGATAATTCACTCTAAAATGGGGATAATTCACATCATAAATCCTTTTTGAATCCCCTGAAAATATCCCCGACTGCTCCAGAAATTTCACTACCCTCTGGTAATTTAACATAGCTATTGAAAATCACCATTTTCAATGGGTAAATCCACTATAAATGGCCATTTTCAATAGCTATTTTGACATAACCAGAGGGTATATCATGTTCCACTTTTGATGCTTGAATCAAGTTGAATCCCATGAGTTTTCTTCGGTGCCTGCAGGAAGTCCAACAGTTAGAGTCAGAACGCATGGCGGCGTTAGCAGACAAGGCGCTTGACCGTTGCAGATGTGGCAAGGGGTGAAAATGGGGATGCAATACATATATATATATATCAAACTAGAACTATAGTTACTGGGGTGAAACTAAACCAACTATCATTAATGATGTAAATAAGTAGCCCTGTATAGCCCTGTCAAAAAAGGAGACAGTCCTCACTACAGACCCATGTGCGATGGGATTATCAGGTTTCAAGATGGGGAAATTCTGACCTGGGGATGGTACATGTATACCTAAGTATATGATCACACATACGTGATTCAATAACTATACACACAGAATCTGAAAATCTCTGTATGTGTATATACACATAATACGTATATATATACATATTATATATATAATATATGTGTGTGTATATATATATGTAAATACACTCCAAGCACTGGAAAAGTCCATGATCATTCCCTTCGTACAGAAAAAGCAGTGGTGAGATTCATCAGGTACTTCACCGAAAACTGCAGGGGACAGCCACAGAAAAAACGTGCTGTGCAGTTTTAGCACAATCCATTGCTGGATGGAAGTATCTTCCTGAATGATACAATGATGGATATTTAGTAAAGGATATAAAGGATATACTGTGGATGGGAAAGTATGAATATATGATTTCACAGCATTAACCAATATTTTCCTTGCTTATTCATCTGATGGATATCATCAGAAACATCACATGATCCAAACCCAGACATATGCCATGGCATCATGGTCAAGTTACATGGTTTGGTGATTAAATCCCTTGAATTTCCCCCTTACATCCCATTAAATCCTGTTAAATCCAATTATTGTCATCATTATATATATATATATATATGTACATATATGTATATATACTACATATATTCCCATAGGATGGAGGACCAGGGGTAGTTTTTTTTTGAGAATGGTCACAAACCTTGGCGCTTGGACGAAAATCACCATGGTTCGAATGTGGGATTCACCTAAACTTGGTTGGAAAATGTAGAAGGCAACAACCAACATCTGTAGAAAACATGTGACAAAAATCATGTTTAACATGTTTTCCGCCAAAAAATGATCTATGGAGTGAATGTCAATTGGAGGGTGCTGATTGGAGTTGTTTTTGAGAGTTCCGTTGCTAGCAACTGGCGATTTGCCATCTCCAAGATGACCGGGACCAACCCAATTTGCGCCGGATTTTGAGCTGATCATTTGACAGTTTGCATCAGTTTGCTATGGAAATCAGTTTGTTTTTCGTACAGCATCTATATTTGGGAACCTATTTCGTTAGATTAAATTCTTGGATTGGTTCAGTTGGGAAAATCTTCACCGGAAAGCCATGGGTTACCATGAACTCCTGGAGGTTCCTGTGAATTTTCCCCAATCCAATGATTTCAAACATCACGAAAAGGGTATGAGTTGAAGTAGCCTCTGGTAAACGTTTACAAAAAACTATGGAAAGATCCACCATTTTTAATGGGAAAACTCACGAAAACTATGGAAAACTCTTTGTTGATATGGATACCCTCTGGTAAACTAACACAACTATGGAAAGATCCACCATGCTATTAATGGGAAAACTCACTATTTCTATGGGCCATTTTCAATAGCGAACTGTTAGTGGTAATTTAACATAGCTATTGAAAATGACCATTTATAGTGGATTTTCCCATTAAAAATGATGATTTTCCATAGTTTTGTTGTATGTTTACCAGAGGGTGGCTCACTCCATGAGTCCTCACCCAAGATGATCTGCCTCCGTGAGGAACTTCGGGTGTTGCAGGTGGGGGTCTCAACAGGGATAGCCTGTTGCGGTTCTGGGCCTGGAACTGGAACGGCAACATCTGGCAGATCACGGTTCATACAAGGTGGTGCCCCCTAGATAGCTAAGTTGGTTTATAACTCCAATAACTATGGTTTAGAGGTGATATATCTATAGTTAATGGGATTATAAACCAACTTATAACTTGGGGGGCACCACCTTGTAACGATTAATAATGGTTGCAAACAACCATGGATTCTCATCTACCAGGTCATCCCTGGCCCACGTGGTCCGCCTCTGCATTGGACCGATGCCACTGGTTATGTCAACAGGTTGCGAACTTGAAAATGGACCATAGAAATAGTGGATTTAGCCACTGAAAATGGTGGATCTTTCCATAGTTGTGTAAACGTTTTATGTAAACGTTTACGAGAGGGTTTTTTTCTAGATCTATGGCTCTGTCGATAAATTTTATGCTCAGCTCAAGGTATCAGCCCCTCATTAGAGGCGAACTCGCGAGCTGACAAATCCATAGACCTGACATAGATCAGTAGCTCTGTGACCGTCTGAAGTCTCCCGATTTTTTGGAGATCGAAGAAAAACAGTCTCCATTATGGTTTCTTGGAGACTACACTCCCTTTTCTGAGGGTTATATATATCTCAACCTGAGTGCCAATGGCATTGTCTGGGGGCTATAGTCGCTATATACTCTGGTTGGTGGTTTGGATCATTTTTTATTTTCCATAATATATGGGATAATCCTTCCCATTGACTTTCATATTTTTCAAGATGGTTATTGCACCAGCAACCAGTACTTCATTTTATGTTTTTCTTGAGGGGACACAGAGTTGTTTCAAAACCATGGGGATTTCCGTGGTACCGAAACTTCGGAGAAACCCATTGATATATACCCTCCTTCTTTATCAGACATACTGCAAGCGCCCCATTCTTGGAGTAAAACCATGATGTAATGTGATTAAACAATGCCATAAACTAGCCATGACTGGGAATGCTCTACACCTATAAAAATGGTGATGACTGGGGGATGGTTCTCATTATTGTTTTAACCACATTAATTACATGAAACATGTGGCCCTATGAAATATTACAATACATTTCATACATAGAACCAACAAATGGTGCTAACTAATAGGTCATATTAAACAGGTCATTCATCCAAGTTTATTGTGGCACATCATGATTTTCATCACCAAATCGCGGGGAATCGCGGGGAATCACCAGGCGCGGGAGACCAAGTTTCATCAGCGCATCAACATGGAAGCACGTCAGGGACACAATCCGTCTCCTCGGGACGGATGATGGAAGATCTCACAGTCACATATGAGTTGTACATACTACATATATATATAATTATATGATTATATATACCATATATTTTAATATATACCTATATATATATACATAATTACATATATATATAGATATATACATGGATATACATACGGGGTAAAAACCACTAAGTGAGATGCACATCCAAGAAGAAACCGCAGGGAATCTCCGGGTTCAATGCTATTTCTAGCTCTGTCTTGGAGGATTTGATGTTTTCCGATGGATGACATTCATTTTTCGGCACTTTGGCCGCTCCCAGAAGATAGCCAGAAGCAGGGCGTCTATCTTGTTGGGCACGACAGATGCCTCACTTGATGGTTCATAGCAAGCCCCCCATCGAAAAAAAAACCACTGAATACTCAAAAATGGTGATGCCAAGTTGTGATTCCTCGGTTGTAACATTGTAGCTACTGTCGTTCTCATTCCCTACGGGCTTTTGACATGTCTTCAGCAACTTTAGGGCCACTTCTATGGTGGTTCGGAGCTTGCTACTTGCGTTTATTTCTGCTTGTTGTGTAAGGTCGCCGACCAATTTTAGGGATTATACTTCCACACTCTCGTTTCTTTGATCCCCCAATATTGCTTGACTGCCCACTTCTTGTTTGATATGAGTACTTCGACATTGATATCAGACTTCTCATAATTTTAACCCCACAGTTTGAGTCATAGGACATCTGGATGTGTAGCTGCGTGTCCAGTGACTAGGTATGCCAAGGACATCATTAAAACCAGAGGGTTCATACGTGGTTTACATGTTTGCATTTGGACCCAATTCTTTTGGCTTCTTTTATCATCCAGTAAACCAACAAAACCTTATGAATATCCTGATGGAAAATCCATCAGACGTGTCATTTCCAAAAAAAAAAACGTTTTTCGATAGCTTTTTGTATGTTCACCAGAGTACTTTCTGGTGTCATCAAACATGGCTGGAAAATCCACCATTCCTAGATGCTCCCAGCGACAAAAACCTCAATTTATAGTTTCTTTCAATATCTTCCCATGATTTTCCCATGTTTTTCCCATGTTTTTCCCATTCAAAGCTCCGTTGTTCATGGGGATATTGGGGATGTGCGGACTGCCAAGGTCGCGATCGAGTCATGGGAAGCCGCACCAATGAACTCGAAGCCCTGCGCTTAGCGCGAGAAGAGAAGCGACAGCAGGAGCAGTGGGTGGTGAGGTTCGGTTGTCATTTACTGGTGGTTTCAAGCATTGAAAAAAAGTCCCCAATAGTTGGGATGATGATCCAATCTGACTATCATATTTTTCAGAGGGGTACCAACTAGTTTAAAACGGTTCGGTTGTCATTTACACTCTGGTAAACATACAAAAACGATGGAAAATCACCATGTTTAATGGGTAAAACAACTATTTCTATGGCCATTTTCAATAGCTAAGTTAAATTACCAGGGTAAAACCTGGTTGGTGCTTTGGAACCATGGAATTTTATGACTTTCCTAATATATTGGGAATGTCATCATCCCAACTGACGAACTCATATTTTTCAGAGGGGTAGGTATACCACCAACAAACGGTTTGGTAAATCTCAACTGGGAATAGTTGTAGAATTAGAATCCGGAATAGACATTCTAAAGCGGAATTGGTAAATCCGGAATAGAAATAGGAATAGAATCCCAATTGGGAATTGGTGTAATATTGAGACTTGGATTGGGGGAAGTATCGCATAGGTTGATGAATGATGAAATTTATCCAGATACATTTGGGGGTGGCAAATGTCCACTTTTGGGCATTTGGAACATCACCCTTTGCTGTTTTGTATCTGTTGGAGATGATTAAAATTCTCGTAGGGGATGTGAACAGCTAGGACATCTACCAAACTCTGATTGTTGATGATACAACCATGATTGTTGCTTGGTGGCTCATCCCACGAATCGTAAGTGGGTTAGTTCACCCCAGTGATTTCAGTGGATTAACCCTACAAACTTATCCCATTTATAACTGGGGTGAACTAACCCACTTACGATTCGTGGGATGAGCCACCAAGTACAACCATGATTGTTGGTTGAAATGGCCCAATTTCTGGCTTCGACACCCAATGTTCAACACAAGATACCCTCTGGTAATTGAACACAGCGATGGAAAACCACCATTCAATAGATAGGTAAACATCATCTACAAACGGGCCACTTTCCATAGCTATGTGGGATTACCAGATCATTGACTTTACCATATTTACTTCTTTGTGTTTCTTTTTGTAACTATGGTGTGAAAATATGGTTTTTGATGCTCCCAAGAGGGTCGCTCGGGTCAATGGAGCCACATCAAGCCGTGACTGCATTCCAGTCCTGTATAGGCACCCCTTAAGTGGAACAGGTAGCAAGAATAGCAAGAATACAGGTCTTTCCATTTCCGATCATTCAATGACAAGGGGGTAACCTGTCCATTCTCATTCGGAAATTGGCATGAGCTTTTCTGCTTGATTTCTGGAGAAACAAACCAGGCTCAGGGAAAGCGGGGGGGCCCTTTTGGCCCAAAATCTTATATAATCTTTCAATCTTGTCAGAGTTATCAGATATTCCTTTCTTGTTTGGTGCCGTTTTGTTCTACAACTTTTTTTAATTTCTTTTTCACATATTCCCAGAATTTTGCTTAAACAAATCTCGGAAAAAAGGATGTCCTGCAAGCTTTTGCACGTGACTTCCAGGAGATTCGCAAACGCGCCAGAGACCGAGAGCAGCGCATTGAACAGCGACAGATGCGCAGGTGGGGCGCCAGAAACTTGGGGGATTTTGAGCAAAAACGAAACGAACCATGAATGGTTTCACGAGCACAACTACTTGGTGGCTCATCCCACTTAGTGGGTTATAACCCCAGTGATTTCAGTGGATTAACCCTACAAAAATCCCATTTATAACTGGGGTGAACTAACCCACTTACGATTCGTGGGATGAGCCACCAAGTAGGATTTAAGTGATGGATATTCTCCATTAGACCCTGGTAAAATGATTGAATTGAGTTTTTGGTGTATAAACAATTCCACATGCCTGTTTGCTTGACTTGTCTTTGGTCCCATCCCTAGAATTTATCGATGAACCTACTTAAAATCCCCATGCTATGCAAGTTTCTGTCAATTTAATCTCCATATTTTTGGTGGTTTAGCGAGCCAGCTCTTGCTGGTAAATCCATCAATTTTGCGCAGCCACAATTTTTGTTGATCCACACCTCAAGGATTTTTTGTTGGTTGAAGTTGTTGAGGTATCTTTTTGTTTTCTTTGGTCAGTTAAACCCACATCTCATCCCCGACGACGACTTGGCCCCCTGCTGTCAGGGCTGGTGAAGTCGGCAGCAAGGAATACGAGGCCGGAGTTGGGAGATGTTCGGCCCGCAATTTCGGGGGTACCCTGAGGTAAACCTACAGAAAGATGTGGAAAATCCATTTAAAAAAAAACACATGAACATGATCTACATTCAGGGTGGGTAAACTTCACATCGAATTATTTGCAGGGTACTAGACTAAATAGTGGGATATGTGGCCATATAACGGGAAAAACATGGTATTATACACCAATGTTAATACACCCCAACACACATACTATTTGTAAAGTAAATGTTGAAATATTCAGGGAAGATGTTTTGGGATATAATGAGAATGATGTAACGATAGCCTCTGGTAATTTCACACTTTGCAATGGAAAACACCATTTTGAATAGGGATCCATCATCGAACTATTTCTGGGCCATGGCGCCGCGATAGCAAACTGGTGCTGGTTTACCCAGTTTATGATCTCGTTGGACCAGAACAAATGGAGCATGATTCATTCATGGTTTTGAGCTATTGAAAATTGCCATAGAAATAGTTGATTTTCCCATGAAAAATGGTGATTTTCCATAGTCATGTTAGTTTACCAGAGGGTACCATCTGGTTATTTATGTATATATATATATCAGTATATTCATATCCTTTAATATCCTTTCATGATTTTGTTGGTGGTGAAACAGTCAAACCACAGATTACATAGCAATAGCATGTGCACTCAACCTTTTGCGTCCAGGCCTTGAGCGTGGCTCGAGCGTGTAAAAGGAGTTTTTGCACTCCTGGTTGTCACCACTGAAACAGTGGTAGCGGAGCCCGGCGCCGGCCGGGCAGTTTCTCCGACCGCCATGTCGGAAGGACAACATGGAGGTGTTCGTCGCTTTCGTGCCCGTGGTGGCCATCGACATCGAGCTCAAGGAGTTCAAGCTGCCGAAGCTGACGGAGCTGACGAAGCAGAGGATGACTGGTGGCATTGGAGCGACGGACATCAAGGTGGAGCAGAAGGCCCTGGCTTGGATGAAGCTCAACCAGAAGAAGATGCGACTGGTGGCAGCTACTTTGTTACGAACGATGCTGCTACATCGTCGACATCACCTGGACAAGCTGGAGCTCAAAGCGCAGCAGCTGGTGGCGCAACGAGTGGGCAATTCGAGATGACTGGCGCCACGCCCATGTCAGCTGCAGCACCAAGCTTTCCGGATCCTTCTGCCAACAACAATATGAGCCCAATGCAGAACGCTTGGACGGCAGCTGGAATGATGCCTTGGGAAGTGCCTGGTGGCATGAGCTTTCCTGGACAAGGTCTTCCTGGTGGACTACCTCAACATGGTGCAGTACCACCGCATGGGGGACTACCACATCACGCTGGTGGCATTGCTGGCATCTATGGACATGGAATGCCTTGTGGGCTTCCTACCTTCTACGGAATGGGAATGCATGGAGCACCGCCATTTGGTCTGACGCCTGGAAGTTTTGGAGGCGGTTTGCAACCGATGCATCCTGGAGCTATGCCAGCACTACATCCAGGACTATTTCAACAAGCTCCCATGAGCAGTGCTTATCAAGTTCCAGCACCTTGTCCTGTACCTCATCAAGTTCCTCCTGAAGGTCCCCAACAAGCACCATCTCATGCAGTACCTCAACAAGGTCCTTCTGCAGTACCTGCACAAGAATCTGGCAACGCCGGTGGCTCGCAATCCCAGAGCAACTCTCCGAAGGCTCATGGAGTTCAAGCTGAACCTGAAGATCCTTGGAGTCGCTACAAAGCACAACAAGATCAACAAGGACGACCTGCAGCTGTGGAGACGGCGCAGCAGTTCAGCGCAGCCTTGCGAGAAGAGAGGCCTGGTTTTGCGGCCAAGTCGGTGAGCTCAGCCTTTGAGGCCATGGGGAAGGCTGTACCGACTTCACCCGCTGCTCCATCGACCGTCACCAACGAGTTGTTGCTGAGCAAGTTGGTCGAGGCAGTCAGTGGAGAGAGGAAGACAGCGATCCCTTCCTGGGATGGATCTCCTGGTGGCCTACGTTCTTGGCTGAAGGCATTGTCCTTCTGGGAGTCCGACAACGGCACCAACAAAGCCAAGTGGGGCATCAAGCTTTATCAAAATCTATCAGGAGAAGCCAAAAAGATCGCCGACACCATCTCCCCGGACGTGCTCCTCACCGAGAAGGGCTATGGAGCTGTTTTGACAGCCTTGCTGACCAAGTACGAGCCCTACCTCGAAGCAGCTGGTCCGGTGTCAGTGGATACATTTTTATTCAGGTGAACGCCAGTCAAGGGAGACGTTCACGTCCTTTTTGGCGAGGAAAGAGGTGCAGAAGCAGGAGATGGAGACGCAGTTGGGTGCCCATCTACACCCGCTCATTGCAGGGCGGATCCTCCTGAAGCAGGCAAGTCTTTCTGAACATCAACAACAAGTTCTTGCCTTGAAGACCAACGTCCTCATGGAGTACGACGAGGTGGTACGCACACTTCGGCCCTTGGATCGGTTGGACACCTTGGCTCGCGCTGGAGCGATTTCTGGAGCTGGTGGCACCAACCGCACCTACCTACAAGCTGGAGAAGATGAAGCCGAAGGTGGCGACTATGAGGAGGATTTCGAAGAAGAGACAGAGGCATCGAACTCTGAGGAAGACGAAGACTTCCTGCAGTTCGAGGACAAGGAGTACGATGAAGCCGAAGCCATCTACGTCCAGGCATACAATGATGTGAGAAAGGATCTCCGTTCCAGGAGAAAGGAAAGAGGCTTTGTGAAGCATGGTCGAAAGGCCAATGGTGGAAGCCCACGAAAAGGGCGTGGCAAGGGCTGCAAAGGCGATTGCAAAAGATCCCCGACGAAGCAGAAGAAGGACGAGTTCATCCGTGGCACCGAAGGTGAACTTCTGGCCAGAACGCGATGCTTCTCTTGCCAGGAGCTGGGCCACGTCAGTCGGAACTGTCCTAACAAGGCAGCTGCTTCGTCGCCGAGCCCAAAGAAGACGTTCGTGGCGGTGACCCCTTCAGGCCAAAGCACAACCACCAGCTATGCAATGTTTCGACAAGACATGGGAGTGAACTACCCACCCAAGCTGGAGACTTTGGTCAGAGCCACCTATGCCGGAGTGACTGTGAGAGGGTTTGAAGCTGTTTTGGATACCGCAGCTGAGCAGTGTCTGATTGGTAGCACTGCTATGCACAACTTGAAGGAGGAGCTGAAGCTCTTGAAGCTGCGACCCATTCCAGTTCGACAACAAGCTACTCCGTGTGCAGGCATTGGTGGACGAGCCCAGCTGGCAGGTGTTGTGGATGTGCCTACATGTGTGGCTGGCCTTTTGGGCGTTGTCAGGTTCACCATCATCGAGGACAGCGCCACCTTTGTCACCCCGCCACTTTTGGGAGTGTCCTATCTGGAAGCTGTGGGTGCTGTCATCGACTTGCAGTCCGACACCTACAACACCCCTGATGGACATTCCACTGCAATGAGGCGTCTTCCTTCTGGACATCGAGCAGTACATCTTTTGGATTTTGGTGTGACGCCCTGGAAGCTTCCACAACAACATCAAGTCAATGGACACGACCCCTTTCGAATTCCAGTTCCACGTTCCTCGCACTACTTTTCGGGGGGCAATGGAGATGCTGGGTTTGGTGACACCATGGTTTCCTGTGAAGCTGACGCTGGGTGGCCGATGGATGATGCGTTTTTCGCGGCCTATGTGGAGTCAAAAGTCCTGCCTTTGGACACCACTGCAACCTCTGCAGCCTCAGCCAATGTCACCAACCGTGAAGAGCGATCCCGCTCTCCCAGCAGAGCCCATGCTTCGGAACGCAGTGCAACGGTGGCCTACACCGAAGGAACGACGGAGACGTCTGAGAGAAGGGCGGAAAGAGAGCCAATGGAAGAGCCATCACAAGCAGCCACGTCGGATGGCGGCGATCTACCTCCTGAAGATCCTCATCAAGCTGGTCTACACCATGCAGGAGCTCTACAAGCAGATCCGTCTGGTGGAGAAGAACTACTTGCAGAAGAACCTCAACCCGACGATCAACCAGCTCTTGAAGGTGATGGACATCCTTTGGATCGATCGAGATTGCCGACCATCTTGCCTGTGATCCGGGAGAACGCAGAATCAGAAGTTCGTGGTGAAGGAGACGGCACTGATTCCCCGGTCACGGATCCTTCAATCTCCCCGAGTCAGACTACGGATGACTTGACAGTCACATCCTACCTTGGCCAGAACTTGGACCCCAACAAGGTGATTGACGTCTTTGTGGAGATGAAGGACAGCAGCAAGCTGCACCTGGCTCGCTATGAAGGATGGCGTTTCAAGCTCTTCGATCCCTTCGACATCCCTCAAGCTCGACGACTACAACTGACAGACCGAAGGCAGGTTGTGGCGAGGTTCCCACATGAGGAGACGAGGGTGCTGATCGACAAGTGGCCTGTGAACATCAACCGCTTCTTGGAGCACCCTTGGCATGGAACTGTGACCTTTTTCGAGTCTCGTGGACCTCCACAGCCATTCAACGCCTTTGGGATCGTGCCGAAAAGAGGACCTCGACCTCCACCTCGAGATCCACAACCACCTCAAGATCCACCTCCTGGTTGGTCTGGCCCATCATCTTCGAGCACTGGAGACACCAGCCTTGGACCTACGGCTGCTGACTTTCGCCAGAGATCTGGCGGATCTTCTGAAGATGTGCAAGCAAAAGTTATGCGGCAGCCGGCTGAGTTCTCGCTCGATTGCACCGATGATGATGGACGATGGAATGAGATCATTGAGATGGATGCTGGTGATTGTGATGAAGATGTTCCGGATCGCCATCATGTCGACCGTGTTGAACTTGGGGTTGATCAAAAGGCCGGTCAGGTTTTCAAGCTTGGAATGTTGAAAAACTGCATGAGAAGGAAGAGAACTTCCAATTCCAGAAGCCCTTTCGCTCAATTCATGATCTGGACACTGTCCGGCGCAGCCCAAACGTTCCTCGACCGCATCCAGCGACGTCATGGCGCCCAAGAAGAAGACCAGCGCAGCGGCCAGCAGCCTTCAAGCCTCGGTCTATGCCATGGTGGCCAAGGAGGACCAGGAGGACGAGCCCAAGAAGAAGATGGGAAGCCGCAAGTGCTGTGCGGCATGGTCGCGCGTCGTGATGGCGCTGCTGCTGCTCCTGCGGACCACGCGACAGCAGATGGTCTTGGACTACTTGCAGAAGAAGGGAGCCGAGCAGGACGACCTGGAGCCCGAGAACGTTGGGGAAAAGAAGAAGAAGTCGACCCTGGCGAAGCCCAAGGTGACGAAGACGGAATGGATTCCGCAGGGAATCGGACAGCCCCTGAGGCGCTCCACAACCCAGAAGTACTGGGACAAGGAACCAGAGGAGTGCAACCACCCGGCCGAGTATCTACGTTGTCGTGCAAATCGAGGCCAGCGGTGGTGGACATGCCTGACATGCGGATCTCGATGGGAACGACTGGAAGGAGATCCGACGGCATCGTCTACGACAACACTGGTTCCAGAGACACCGGAGTCCGAGAAGCTCTTGACAAAGACCGGTGCCTATCCACAGTACCTGCCAGCTCCAAAGTCCAAGCCGGAGCAGGGAGCAGTGAAGTTGAAGGTGGACCGCATGGGGATGATCTCAACCGCCTCTGGAGCAGCTGGATTCAGTCAAGGACCAATTCCAAGAACCAGCACACCAAAGCCTCAGGAAACAGCCAGAGAGCGGTCACTTTCCAAGGAACGAGTGGTGGAAGGTCTTCGAGCTTACCAGTTGCCAAAGAGGATCCCAACCTTCCACCTGGATCCCGAGAACCGCGATGCTCAGGAGCTGGTGGTGGTAGCACCATCCGAGGAGGTCTTCATGGTCGAGAGCGACAACGAGCAGACGGCTCAGGCCTCCAGCGCTCTGGACGCATCCTAGCGGACAAGTCGCAGCTGGGTGGACGCAATGGCAAGGCATTGGCTTCTTTGGTGGCCTCACGTTTCTCCAAGTTCATGGTCTTTTTGTGCATGAACTGCTGCCTGCCTCCGTCCGCCGTGTCAGCTTTTGGAACCCCTGATCTCGTGGCGATGCACCACGGGAATGAATTCAAGATTCAGCATGGTTTCACTGAGCCTGAGTTCGACCAGCAGGCTGAAGATTTTGTCGGCTGTTACATTTACGGCCAGATGAGTCGACATTTTGTCAACTCGAGTGCAGATGGCTTTGGAAAGGTTCGACCTTTGAGCAAGGAGAATCAGAAGTGGCTCACCAAGAACTTGAAGAGCCAGCCTACGATTGTGGAAGTCTATTCTCCTCCCAGAGTCACCGAGAAGGCGAAGCAGTATGGTTTCACTCCAGGCGGAGCCCTGGATTTGACTACAGGTTGGGACTTCCGGAAGAAGTCACATCAACAAGCTGCTCTACGCCTTATCCGAGATCAACAACCAGTGCTGGTGATTTTGTCGCCTCCCTGCACGACTTTCTCTCCATTGAGGTTCCTGAGCAATCACAAGAGGAATCCGGAAGTTGTTGCAGAAGAAGAAGATGAAGGACTGGAACACGTCCGCTTCAGTGGGTTGATTGCCAAGATCCAACATCGTGGTGGTCGTGGGTTTCTCTTTGAACATCCCCGAGGTGCAACTTCTTGGAAGACATCGGAACTTCAGGAACTGCGAGAACTTCCCGGTGTCTTTGCGGTCCAAGTAGATTTATGCAGATTCGGGTTGAAAACTACAAAGGGACACCCAGCACTGAAGCCTACACTTCTTCTCACCAATGTGGAGGAGCTGGCAAACATCCTGAACCGCAGATGCGAGGGATATCACGCCAAACATCAACCGCTGCTTTCTGGCGAGGCCAAGCACGCAGCGAAGTACACCCCTGCCTTCGTCGATGCAATCCTTCGAGGACTACGACGGCATGTACAAGCTTGGGTGAAATCCAACAATCCTGCAGCAGACTATTGGGAGATCACGGACACCTTGGTCACCCGGCATCATCGAGTTCCTCGACGAGCGCTCTTTGTGCCCACTGGTGTTGCAGGTTGTCCTCAGGATGTTGCCAACATCTCATCAGCCAGAACTACAACTATGAAAACCCTCAAGGGCCCAGTGCAAACCATTCAAGACAATTGGCGAACCACTGCGATGCCCCGCCAATCTATGAAATTCGAGTGGACAGGGACTACATCCTTTCCTGTCCAAGAGTCAATTTTACTTCCCAATGACTGGAAGGCCGTGGCCAACTACATCGTCCAAGCTGCAGCTCATCCAATTCATCACTACATCACTGAGGAGACCGCCGTGCAGGTGGAATGGAGTGCATTTCCATCCCACAAAACTTTGGGAGGCGCGCCATCGTCTTCAGCAGTTGGCACGTCGGGCCCCTCTACGTTCAATCGTTTTTCTGGCCAAGAGGACGAGGACGTCGATGCCGAGATGATGGGTGAGGACTTGGACATCCCGGCCAATCCAGAAGAACCAGAAGAAACCTCTGAGACAAAGGTGAAACATGCCCTACGACCTCTACAACTCTCCAAGCCGGCCACTGACAACGTCCTACACCCTGAGGTGAGACGGGAGTTGTTCAAGATCCACCGCAACTTGGGACATCCTTCACTGCAACTCTTTGTGAGAGCCCTCAAGCATGCTGGAGTCAAGCCCGAGATCCTGCAGTGGGTCAAACATCACTTTCATTGTCCTCTGTGCGAACGACGGCAACGTCCTTCACTACATCGACCTGGCCGTCTACACAAGGCAATGGGCTTCAATGAGGTGGTTGGAGTGGACCTGATGCAGATCAATGTGGAGGGCATCGGCGAGTATCTGCTCTTGAACTGCCTATGCTGGGGTACGGACATGCAGATCGTCGAGCCAATCGCCGACAAGCAGGCCGATACGGTCTACCGAGCCTTTGCAAAGGAGTGGATGGCTCACTATGGACCACCAGCATTGGTGGTGGCAGATCAGGGCCGAGAGTTCGTTGGCAATGGCTTCACCGACCCACTTGGTCATCTTGGAGTACCGGTTCACTTTATCAACGTCAGATCCCCCTGGGAGAACGGCCGTACCGAAAGGGCTGGTGGAATCCTGAAGTCCCGGTTGGAGACCACTCTGCATGAGATTGGAGCCACAACTGATGAGGAGGTGAAGGCAGCAATCTCTGAAGTCACTGTAGCTCACAACCGCTACTACAACCGCTCTGGATTCACCCCATATCAAAGGGCATTTGGAACTTTGCCTCGAATGCCGGCCTCACTACTTTCGGACGATGCCATCGACAAGCAGCTCATCCTGGATGCCGCTGGTGACTCAATGAAGCGTGCATGGAAGATTCGGGAGGAGGCAACCAAAGCCTGGCTGCGGTGGCAAGACGATGAGTCCGTGAGGAGAGCAGTTTCTACCCGGACACGGACGGCCGACAACAAGTCCTTTGACGTTGGGGAGCTCGTCTACATTTGGAGGAGTGTCCCAGGCTATAAAGGTTGGACTGGTCCTGGAACTATCGTTGCCCAGAAGGATGACACCGTGTGGGTGAGCATGCGTGGCTACTTGATCAAGGCCTCCAAGGGCCAGACTCGCAAGGCCACCTCTGAGGAAAGTCTTGGAGCAGAACTGGTTCGACATCTCTCTGCTCAGATGTTGGAAGACTTGGAATCCAATGCGGTGAAGTTTTACCGAGATGTTGAAGGAGAAGGAGCACCAGAAGGCATCGGGAATGGCGAGGACGACGGATACTCACCTTCGCTGGCACCAGAGGAGGAAGAGCCGTTTTCTGGTGGAGACTCACCCCTCGGGGCAGAGCCATCGATCCTCCAGCCTATCCCTGAAGAGCCTGACGCTCCTATGGAGGAGGTTCAACAGCCAATGGATGGCGTGATCATGGACAACCAGTCCGAACGGAGCACAGTTGAACCTGCAGTGACTCCAACTCTCACCGAGGACACCTCCCAAGCTCGCAGCCGAAGCACCAGTCAAACCTTTCCAGACCGACGACTGAGTGGTGTGCGAGTTGACGAAGGTTCTGGTGGTACTTTGGGGTTTGGCCCGATTCGAGATGGACCTCCAGTGGCAACATCTGCAATGCCCTATCCGAGTCCACCTCAAGGACTTCCTTCGTGGCCAAGACCTACCCACAGCCTCTACTTCGAAGTGTCTTCAGATCCTGCAGCCGCTACACCCAGGTGGACCTTGGATCGCCCAACGGGAAAGTATACCATGAATCCACCGACCACCTCCAAGTTCAACATCAATGAAGCAGGAGCAGTCTACAACTACAGCGACAAGTGCATGTACCTGACCAAGACCAAGGCAAAGACATCGCCTGGGCAGGTGGAGTTCAGGAAACTGTCGGAGAAACACAAGAACATCTTCCGACAAGCCAGAGCCAAGGAAGTCAAATCCCTGTTGGACTCTGGAGCCATCAAGATCCTGTCCTTGGCGGAGTCGAAACAGTTTCTTCGAGAACATCCCAACCACGTGCTGACCTCGCGCTATGTGGACCGCTGGAAGCCTACAGATGCCTTTGGAGTTCTACCTGAAGAATATGGTCATGAAGGTTTTCAGCCAGAGGACCACGGTGGGTTAGCACCGAAGTCACGATGGTGCGTTGTTGGGTGGAAGGACCCTCACATCCACCAGATCGAGAGGGCAGCCCCGACACCAATGACTTCTTCCATGTACCTGGCTTTACAACTATCAGCCAGCAGGAAGTGGGTCGCATTTGGCAAGGATGCCAAAACTGCCTTTCTGCAGTCAAGGCCAACGACGAGGGTGCAGAAGCTGGCGTGCCGCATGCCCACGGACGAGCAGTTTCAGGGCTACCACATGGACCAGCTCATCCTGCTCCTCACGGAGGTCTATGGCTTGGTGTCAGGCCCAGCTTGGTGGAGAAGGTCATTGTTGGAAATCCTTGTCAAGGAGTTGGGATACCGGGTCAACGTCTACGACCGGTGTGTTCTCACCTTGGACGGCGACTTGGACCCTCAGAACCCCGACAAGGAGGTGCCGACCCTGGGCTACATCGTGCTGGAAGTGGATGACTTGCTGGAGTCTGGTGGTCCTGCACATCGAGCTCGCATGGACAAGTTGGAGGGCCGTTTGAAATTTGGGAAGGTTGTGAACCTTATGGAAAGCGAGGGTGGATCCGGCTATGCAGGCCGACGCATCAAGCAGCACCCCGACTTTTCCTTCACCTACAGCATGGATGACTACGTGACCAACCGGTTGCAACCAGTCAAAGTCCATCGACGCATCCTGAAGAAGAACGCGGCCGAGACCCTGCTGAATGAGGACGAGATCTCTCAGCTACGGGGGACGATTGCTGCGATCAACTGGTCAGCAAGAGAGGGCAGGCCAGATGGATCAGCCAGTGCCTCGATACTTTCTGGGTGCTTCCCCGAGCCAAACATGAAGCACCTGTTGGATTGCAACCAGGTGGTGGAGCTGTTGAAGGGTCAGAAGATCACCATCAAGATCCACCACATCCCGGAGAAGGACATCCGCCACCTCCTGATCGCCGACTCATCGTTTGACCCCTCTGGCAAAACCAAACCTCAACACGGCTGGATTCAAGGAATCACCACACCAGCTCTCAATCGTGGTGAAGAAGCCCCGGTGAGTTTGATTTCCTGGAGGAGCAAGAAGATTCGGAGGAAGGCTGGCAGTACGACCTTGTGCGAAAGCATCTCTTTGTCGACTGCACTTGCAGCCATGGAAAAGCAGGTGGCGACCTTCACCAGTTTTAGATTCTCACGATTTGATCCAAGGAGTTTGGCCAGAGACATCGAAGTGGAGATGAGGCTACGTGGACCACCAACGGTCATTGCCGCAGAGGACCCGAAGTTTGTGGACCCCGAGACCATCGCGATCATCGACGCCAAGAGTGTCTTCGATTCCACCTCGAGTGCCGAACGCCAATTTCAGGGCGAGGACGACAGAGCTGCGCTGGAGGCTGCCATTATCCAGGAGAGCTTGGCGAACCTCCGTGCCCGCCTGAGATGGATCCCTCACAACGTGAATCCATCGGACGGCCTGACAAAGCTGCCTCAGCAGGCGCACATGCAGCCGCTCTACGACCTCTTGAAGCGCCACTCCATGAAGATCCAACGTGAGGAGATTGAGTTAGCATCTGGACGCCAAGGAGACAAACGTCTCAAGGTGCACGGTGCGGTGGAAAGAGACAACGCATCTCTTGTCCACAAAACTTTGGGAGGCTGAAACAGTCAAACCACAGATTACATAGCAATAGCATGTGCACTCAACCTTTTGCGTCCAGGCCTTGAGCGTGGCTCGAGCGTGTAAAAGGAGTTTTTGCACTCCTGGTTGTCACCACTGAAACAGTGGTTTCAAACATTGATTGGATTTACTTTTGCATCCTTTTCGAGACGAGAAGGGCAAGTGACTTTCATTTTTTGGTGTTGAAACTAACAACCAACTGTAGTGCTAAAACATGGTGTTTTTTTTCGCCTATGGAGCAAACAACATACTAACGTTAGGCCTAAATAGATCGCAGATTGGTAAACGCGGTGGTGAATTTTCCATGTTCGCGTCACCGGTTTTCTGCCAGGGTGAAATGACCCATCCCCAGCCGCATCAGCCTTCAGCTTTTGCGCTGGAGAACGATGGAGATAGTTCATACGGATTTATATCGTGAGTCACAGTTATTTTGGTAGAATTTTGGGAGATGGCGGCATACCTTTTTGGATCAAAATCTTCTGAGATCACCGCAGAGTCTGCCGGCTGCAGCCCCCTGTCACATCTCAGGCAAGGGTGCGAGAACTGAGAGTTCATCAGCAGAGGGAAAGAAAGGCGCGGAAGTTCATGATGATTTCAACATGACTTGTGATTCATGGGAGGTTAACCAGGTTAACCATCAAAAACCTTGATTTTTGCATGGGGAGTCAGCTGAATGCTAAACGGAACGGTGACTTCCGACGGGAGACCGGGGTCTCCCGAATTCGTTCGCATCCGTGGTCTTTTTGGGCTAGTGACAATTCCAGCAGCCGATTTTTGGCTAGTCAAATCATGAATCCTCATTTTGGAGATTTTTGGAGTTGCCCTGCTGGGAGGTCTACATCAAGCAGCAAGAAGAGGAGCAGGCTTGGTGCCATTGAAGAAAGGTCGTTTTTTTTCAAACATTCTGATTTCTAGTGACCAAAAAAGATGGAACAGACATTTCCCACTGAGATTGCAAATTTATCACTTTTCCATCTTTTTCGGGGTTGATTTCTGTCAAGATAGATCTTGCACCTTAAACTGGCTTTGAATATGTTTGAATGGGGATTTATCCCAGCAAAGCTAGGGATTTATAGCCATTCATGGTTAACCATGAATTTTTGGAGTACCTTTTTTTTTTTTCTGAGACCTCACTGGTGATATTTCAAGATAGATGTACATGTGCTCACCAGTGAGGTCTCAGATGACGCCAAAAAAAGATATATCGGTTGTTCCGGGAACATCTTTCCGGCACTGAAAAGTTGGATGTTACTTTGGTGGCGAACTACCCACGAATCGTAAGTGGGTTAGTTCACCCCAGTGATTGATGTGGATTAACCCTACAAAAATCCCATTTATAACTGGGGTGAACTAACCCACTTACGATTCGTGGGATGAGCCACCAAGTAGAATCCACGCAAAGTCGGTGTTCTTTCTTTTCCCGAGAGCGTCTGAGCGCAGGGTTCTTCCAATAGTGGGGGTCTGTAAAACATCTTCTCTCACATCTTCTCTCACATCTGCTCATCTTCACATCTTCTCTCACATCTTCTCTCACATCTGCTCATCTTCACATCTGCTCATCTTCGCATCTTCTCTCACATCTTCTCTCACATCTTCTCTCACATCTTCTCTCACATCTGCTCATCTTCACATCTTCTCTCACATCTTCATCTTCACATCTTCTCTCACATCTGCTCATCTTCACATCTGCTCATCTTCACATCTTCTCTCACATCTTCTCTCACATCTGCTCATCTTCACATCTGCTCATCTTCACATCTTCTCTCACATCTTCTCTCACATCTGCTCATCTTCACATCTGCTCATCTTCACATCTGCTCCTCTCTTCACATCTGCTCACATCTTCTCTCACATCTTCTCTCACATCTTCATCTTCACATCTGCTCATCTTCACATCTTCTCTCACATCTTCTCTCACATCTGCTCATCTTCACATCTTCTCTCACATCTTCTCTCACATCTGCTCATCTTCATCTCTCACATCTGCTCATCTTCACATCTTCTCTCACATCTTCTCTCACATCTGCTCATCTTCACATCTTCTCTCACATCTTCTCTCACATCTGCTCATCTTCACATCTGCTCATCTTCACATCTTCTCTCACATCTGCTCATCTTCACATCTTCTCTCCTTTCTCTCTCCTTTTCTCTCTCTCGCCTTCTTTATCTTTCTCTCTTAAGGCCGAGGGTGGTGCCGGCGGCGAGTCACGAAACGTCAACCCTTTCGCACGAAATGAGGGTCGATCGTCAAAAACTGAGGAAAAAATGCGATTTTACTTGTCCCGGAGCAACCCTTTCGCACGAAATGAGGGTCGATCGTCAAAAACTGACGAAAAATTGCGATTTTACTTGTCCTGGAGCAACCCTTTCGCACGAAATGAGGGTCGATCGTCAAAAACTGAGGAAAAATTGCGATTTTACTTGTGCTAAAGCAACCCTTTCGCACGAAATGGGTCGATCGTCAAAAACTGAGGAAAAATTGCGATTTTACTTGTCCTGGAGCAACCCTTTCGCACGAAATGAGGGTCGATCGTCAAAAACTGAGGAAAAATTGCGATTTTACTTGTCCTGGAGCAACCCTTACGCACGAAATGAGGGTCAATCGTCAAAAACTGAGGAAAAATTGCGATTTTACTTGCCCCGGAGCAACCCTTTCGCACGAAATGAGGGTCGATCGTCAAAAACTGAGGAAAAATTGCGATTTTACTTGCCCCGGAGCAACCCTTTCGCACGAAATGAGGGTCGATCGGCAAAAACTGAGGAAAAATTGCGATTTTACTTGTGCCGGAGCAACCCTTTCGCACGAAATGAGGGTCGATCGGTAGAAACTGCTGTAAAATTGCGATTTTTCCTGTGCCGGACTTGTCTGTGTGTAAAAGCGTCTGTGTGTAAAAGCGTCTGTGTGTAAAAGACTGTGTGTGCAAAAGCGTTTGTGTGCAAAAGCGTGTGTGTGTGTGTAAAAGCGTCTGTGTGTAAAAGCTTCTGTGTGTAAAAGCCTCTGTGTGTAAAAGCGTCTGTGTGTAAAAGCGTCTGTGTAAAAGCAACTGTGTGTAAAAGTCTCTGTGTGTAAAAGCGTCTCTGTGTAAAAGCGTCTGTGTGTAAAAGCGTCTGTGTGTAAAAGCGTCTGTGTGTAAAAGCATCTGTCTGTAAAAGCGTTTGTGTGTAAAAGCGTCTGTGTGTAAAAGCGTCTGTGTCTAAAAACATCTGTGTGTAAAAGCGTCTGTGTGTAAAAGCGTCTGTGTGTAAAAGCGTCTGTGTGTAAAAGCGTCTGTGTGTAAAAGCGTCTGTGTGTAAAATCGTCTGTGTGTAAAAGCGTCTGTGTGTAAAAGCGCCTGTGTGTAAAAGCTTCTGTGTGTAAAAGCGCCTGTGTGTAAAAGCTTCTGTGTGTAAAAGCCTCTGTGTGTGAAAGTGTTGTGTGTAAAAGTGTCTGTGTGTAAAAGCGTCTGTGTGTAAAAGCGCCTGTGTGTAAAAGCTTCTGTGTGTAAAAGCCTCTGTGTGTGAAAGTGTTGTGTGTTAAAAGCTTCTGTGTGTAAAAGCGTCTGTGTGTTAAGGAGTCTGTGTGTAAAAGCGTCTGTGTGTAAAAGCGTCTGTGTGTAAAAGCCTCTGTGTAAAAGCCTCTGTGTAAAAGCGTCTGTGTGTGAAAGTTTTGTTTTTGTGTAAAATCTTCTGTGTGTAACAGCTTCTGTGTGTAAAAGCGTCTGTGTGTAAAGGAGTCTGTGTGTAAAAGCTTCTGTGTGTAAAAGCGTCTGTGTGTAAAAGCGTCTGTGTGTAAAAGTCTCTGCGGGTAAAAGCCTCTGTGTGTAAAAGTCTCTGTGTGTGAAAGAGCCTGTGTGTAAAAAGCGTCTGTGTGTAAAAGCGTCTGTGTGTAAAAGCGTCTGTGTGTAAAAGCGTCTGTGTGTAAAAGCGTCTGTGTGTAAAAGCCTCTGTGTGTAAAAGCGTCTGTGTATGTAAAAGTCTCTGTGTGTAAAAGTGTTTGGGTGTAAAAGTCTCTGTATGTAAAATCGTCTGTGTGTAAAAGCGTCTGTGTGTAAAAGTCTCTGTGTGCAAAAGCGTCTGTCTGTAAAAAGTTCTGTGTGTAAAAGCGTCTGTGTGTAAAAGCTTCTGTGTGTAAAAGCGTCTGTGTATGTAAAAGTCTCTGTGTGTAAAAGTGTTTGGGTGTAAAAGTCTCTGTATGCAAAATCGTCTGTGTGTAAAAGCGTCTGTGTGTAAAAGTCTCTGTGTGCAAACGCGTCTGTCTGTAAAAAGTTCTGTGTATGAAAAACTTTACAAAAATACGATGCAAACTATTGTCTTGTACTAGTCATATATTGTCTTGATACTACTCTTCTCGTCTGCCTATAATACATCTTTATCATATTATCTTGTAATATAGTGTCTCCATACTAACAACAGAAGACTCTGCTCCTCTACGCTCTCGGGCAATCCGTCGTCTAGTTTTTTTCCCGAATGCGTAGCAAGGGTTCCCGTTTCACTCTGGGGGTCTGGGGGTTGAGAGTGTGTTCGCTCGACGTTGCGTCCGCGTCCGCAACCGTTCGCAACCGTTCGCAACCGTTCGCAACCGTCCGCAACCGTCCGCAACCGTTCGTACGAACTCCGTATGGCCGTGCCTATGGGAAGTTTTGCAGAGGTGGTCATTTTTGGAGGTTTCAGACGTGTCGTTGCTTCGTTTCGCGTGGCAGGCGTGGCACTTTGTGACATTCAGACGTGTTTTGCAACGTGTTGAAAATCGTTTTGCGTGGCAGGCGCAATACTTTTGTGACGTTGTTGCAGTTTTCGTGGCAGGCGCAGCACTTTGGACGTGTCCATCGTCATTTTTCGTGGCAGGCGCAGCACTTTAGACGTGTCCTGTTGCGTGTTTTTTGTAAATCGCATTGGCAGGGCTGCGTCAAGTGGCGACAAGGTGCAAATTCCGTGGCAGGCGTGGCATTTTCTGACATGTGCTGAAAATTGACGGAAGTCTCGCACGAAACATTGATTTTGAGGTTGCAAATTTTCAGGTTCTAAGGAAAACTCGTAGGAAAACGTCGATTTTGAAGCTGCAAAGTGTCAAAATTGGAGGAAGTCTCGTACGAAATGCTCGTTTTGGTGCTCCCACGTGTCTCGTCTCGAGTCTCTGGTTTTCCCGTGGCTTCGCCGTGTCTATGGGGGAAGCTGCAAAACCTGTCCTTTTGTTATGTTGCCAACTGTGAAAATCGCCGGAAGTCTCGTACGAAATGATCGTTTTGGTGCTCCCACGTGTCTCGTCTCGAGTCTCTGGTTTTCCTGTGGCTTCGCCGTGTCTATGGGGGAAACCGCAAAACCTCTCCTTTTCGAAGGTTCCAAGGAAGTTGTCATGTCGTTTTGCGTGGCAGGCGTGGCACTTTGTGACATTCCAACCTGTTTGATAATGTGTCAAAAATGTCAAAATTGGAGGATGTCTCGTACGAAATGCTGGTTTTTCTGCATCCACGTGTCTTGTCTCGAGTCGCTGGTTTTCCTGTGGCGTCGCCGTGTCTATGGGGGAAGCTGGAAAACATGTCCTGTTCGAATGTGTCCAAGCAGGTTGTCATGTCGTTTTGCGTGGCAGGCGTGGCACTTTGTGACATTCCAACCTGTTTGATAACATGTCGAAAATATCAAAATTGGAGGAAGTCTCGCACGAAATGCTCGTTTTTTTGCACCCTTGTGTCTCGTCTCGAGTCTCTGGTTTTCCTGTGGCGTCGCCGTGTCTATGGAGGAAGCTCCGCACTCCACACTCTACACTTTACACTCCACACTCCACAATTTACACTTTAGACTCCACACTCTACACTTTACACTTCACACTCCACACTTTACACTTTGCACTTTACACTCCTCACTCCTCACCTGAGACTTTACACTCCACACTCCACACTTTACACTGCACTCTACACTTTCCACTCCTCACTCCTCACTCTAAACTTTACGCTCCACACTCCAGACTCTACACTTTACACTCCACACTCTACACTTTACACTACACACTCCTTACTCTACACTCCACACTTCACACTCCACACTTTCCACTCCACACTCCACACTCCACACTTTACACTCCACACTTTACACTCCTCACTCCACACTTTACACTCGTCACTTTACATTCCACACTCCACACTTTTCACTCCACACTCCGCAATCCACACTCCACACTTCACTGTGCACTCCACACTCCAAACTTTATACTTTACACTCCTCACTCCACACTTTACACTCCTCACTTTACACTCCACACTCGACACTCTACACACCACACTCTACACTTTCCACTCCAGACTCCACACTCTACAATTTACGCTCCACACTCCACACTTTACACTCCACACTTCACACTCCACACTCCATACTTTACACTCCTCACTCCACACTCCACACTTTACACTCCACACTCCACACTTTCCACTCCACACTCCACACTCCACACTTTACACTCCACACTTTACACTCCTCACTCCACACTTTACACTCTACACTTTTCACTCCACACTCCGCAATCCGCACTCCACACTTTACTGTACACTCCACACTCCAAACTTTATACTTTACACTCCTCACTCCACACTTTACACTCCTCACTTTACACTCCACACTCGACACTCTACACACCACACTCTACACTTTCCACTCCAGACTCCACACTCTACAATTTACGCTCCACACTCCACACTTTACACTCCACACTTCACACTCCACACTCCATACTTTACACTCCTCACTCCACACTCCACACTTTAGACTCCACACTCCACACTCCTCACTCCACACTCCACACTTTACACTCCTCACTCCTCACTCCACGCTTTACACTCCACACTCCCACACTTTACACTCCACACTTTACACTCCTCACTCCACACTTTACACTCCACACTTTACACTCCTCACTCCACACTTTACACTCCACACTTTACACTCCACACTCTACACTTTACACTCCACACTTTACACTCCACACTCTACACTCCACACTATACACTCTACACTCCACACTTTACACTTTACACTCCACTCTTTCCACTTTACACTCCTCACTCCACACTTTACACTCCTCACTTTACACTCCACACTCCTCACTCCACACTTTACATTCCTCACTTTACACTCCACACTCCACACTCCACACTTCACACTTTGCACTTTACACTCCTCACTCCACACTCTACACTCCACACTCCACACTCTACACTCCACACTCTACACTTTACACTCCATACTCCACACTCTACGCTTTACACTCCGCATTCTACACTTTACACACTCTACACTCCCTACTCCACACTCCTTACTTCACACTCCACACTCCACACTCTACACTTTCCACTCCACACTGCAGACTGGTAACAAGGGAAACATGTACAAGACTGTTCAAATAAACTATTGCAGAAAGGTATTGTGCGTCACTGCATAACCATGTGTTTTGGCATCTGTACCATCAACATACGTGTGAGCATTCGGGTTCGTGGGCTTCATCTTGTTCGCTAAACACTTGGATAGTCTAAGCCGCGACACGGGCATTTTTCAATGTCGGGGGGAATCACTCGGCTTGATCCACTGGATATCCCGGATCTCCTGGATATCCTCTGGTAATGACCAACAGTTAGCGACATAGAAAATGGACCATTGAAAAGTTGATTTACCTATTAAAGATGGTGATTTTCCAGTTCGCTTTTTGTATGTTTACCAGGCCGGATATCCCAGCTTGGCTGGTTTTTCGGGCATGGCTATCGTATCAAAGTTGGACATCAGTTTACCTGCTGGATCTAAAGTTTTTTTTTGTCACGATAGTGTGGATCCAAGGATTTTTCACCACAGAACTGCTGAGTGATTACATTATATTACATTTATAGATCTTGTTTTGGATCCCCAAACAGTTTGGGGGTACCCTCTGGTAAACGTTTACATAACTATGGAAAGATCCACCATTTTTCATGGGAAAACTCACGAAATCAATGGCCATTTTCAATAGCAAACTGTTGACATAACCAGAGGGTACCCTGTATCCTCGCCGATTCCGAAAAAGGATCATCCCGGTACTGGACATTCCTGGATTCGAATTGAGATTCCTGGATAGCGATATCTCCAGAATCGGAAAAAATTGGTTGTTTCAATCGTTTCATAAGTTACCCACTGGTTATGTCAACAGTTTGCGAAATTGAAATTTACCATAGAAATAGTGGATTTACCCATTGAAAATGGTGGATCTTTCCATAGTTTTTTGTAGGTTTATCAGAGGGCATATCGATGATTTCAAGACGATTTCACTGTTGAAACCTCCAATGGAAATACACTGTGAATACAATGGGAAAGCCCCAAAAGATGCCAACAATGTGTTTCCAGGATGGTTTTTTGGAGATTTACCATGGATTTACCTCTTTCAATAATATTGTATATTTCATAGTGATGTGTTTCCAGGATGATTTACCTCATATCTCAATATATTTCATAGATTTTCGAGCTTTCCGAGGTACGTTGAACGTTCGTTTCGCTATCGCTTCGTATCGCGGTTTCGCTTGGGGGGTCGACCTGGTCGAGGCTGAAGAACAGCGGCTGCTTGATGCAGGTCGAAAGGAACTGGAGATTCGAGAGGTCCGCAAGATGGGGATTTTTCATCCGTGGACTAATAATAGTGGTTAATAATGATGGTTTATAATGGGTTATTGACTGTTAATATTGATTAATAATGGTTAATAGATGTTAATAGTGGTTAATAGTGGTTAATCCCATCCAAATCAATGGTAAATTTTGATGGTCAATTATGGTTAATAGTTGGTTAAACACTATTAATAGTGGTTAATAGTGGTTAATATTGACAGAATTTTGACATGCTGTTGGTTAATAGTGGTTAATAGTGGTTACTATAATAGTGGTTAATAGTGGTTAATAGTGGTTAATGATATGGGTTATTGACTGTTAATATTGGTTAATAATGGTTAATCACCATTGGTTAATAGTTATCCACTGGTTATAATGGTTAATCACCTGTGGTGATTTATAGATGACAGTATTATATCTGTGGTTATAATGGGTTATTGACTGTTCATATTGGTTAATAATGGTTAATAGTGACAATAGTGGCTAATAATGGTTAATCATGGTAATTTCGACATACTGTTGGTTAATAATGGTTAGGCAATTGTTACAACCAGTTAATTTAGTGGTTAATAGTGGTCAATCATGGTTGTGGTTAATAGTGGGTGATAGTTGACATCATCCATTCATAGTGGTTAATAGTGTTTTTTCTAATGGTTCATAGTGGCTAATAATGGTAAAAACCATGGCTGTTAATGGTAAATAATGGTAAATAATGGTAAATAATGGTAAATAATGGTAAATAATGGTAAATAATGGTAAATAGTGGGGAAGATGTATGATACTGTGGATGGGCCAGCGAAATCCTGCACCACCTGGGATGGCTGTAATCCGACAAAAAGAATGAGATGTATACCACCAACTGATCCACAGTATCAATGGAGATTTCCGGGGATATCTATGGTGATTTATAGATGATTTATGGTTTTATTTTATGGTTTTATCATGTTTTATAGCTGAGAACAATGGTGATTTACAGCTGATGGGAACCATTAGTTTCATGGAAAACACCTAGGAAACAGCTGGTGATTGCTTAGCAACATGGTGGAATTTATGGGGGTAGTTACATCTCCAAGCCAAGCCTTTATCAAACATATCCATGATGTTTATATCATATCTATGCCCATAAGTGGGGATTTGACCATCAACGTTTAACTTTCGTCTTTTCTTTTTTTTTCCGAGATATTTCTTGCCATATTTTTCAGAAGATATTGATTTACATTGATTTATATTGATGTAGGGGGATGATGATGCATAATGGGAGTTATGACGATCATGATGGGATATTGATAAGCAACAGATATACCCCCAATGTGAAAAGGCCATCTTTTGGTAGTAAAACAATGTGGTTCACAAGAAAAATTGAGGGTATATGACCTATTTTCGGGCGACTTCCTGTGTTCATCATTACTTGGAAAACCTAGCTTGCAGGCATCGTGTTACGTGGGCAAATCACCTTCTTATAATTCACTTGTAAATGGGATGTTTTACCCCAGTTTATACAAGGTTCGGAATCGCTAAGTTGGTGCATCTAACTCCAATAACTGTTGGGTTTATGGTAGATATAAACCAAACAAATCACCAATTTATAACTGGGGGGGCACCACCTTGCATATACTGTGCTGGTGATTAGCCACTTTCCGATCCGCGGGATTACAACTGACAGCGACTCCAATCGGTCGGGATGTTGACCAATTAGGATTCAACTGGCACCACCTGATGGCGAATTAGTCAAGAATATATATACGTATATATATATGGAGGTTTCCTAAAATGGGGGTACCCCCAAATCATCCATTTGATTTTTGGATTTTCCATTATAAACCATCCATTTTGGAATCCCTCATTTATGGAAACCCCCATATATATATACACACAGTACAGCAGCCACTATGTTTGGAGGGACGTTTACATAGATGTGAAAAACATAACTTTGTACATGATGATTTGTGGTTCCCCCATAGCTTTTCCGATTTCCAGGTGATTCTCCCTATCTTTACCTCAGGCGCGCGCACGGCACGAGCGAGAACGCGAAGTGCGACAACGACAGCTGCTGCTGGTGCGACTGGGGACGGTCGGTGTCCAGGGTGGTTTTTGGATGGGGCGTTCTCGAAAAAATGCGGTAAAATGATGGGTTTATATGGGTTTTGACCATCTGATTTCAGGATTTGCTCTCCAATTAGTCCAGTATCATGGAAGATAGGACGATGGGAGGGTAAGGTTTTTTTCTGGGTGACTGACTTGGAGCATGATTTTATGAGATATGAGAGACCCATGGGTCTCAACCTTACAACACGATGGGAGCTTTGGGCAAATTTTCATGTCGCTCCAATAGAGTCGAGAGATGGGAAGATGGGGACATTGTCACCAGCACTGGCACGTGCCACCCTGGGGCCCTTGACCTTTTTTGGGGACATTGATGACAGGTGACCATCCATTAGGTACGAGCATCACTCAGTCACTCAGTTTCTGTACATCAATTTAGATCTGCCTGTAGGCATGGTAGCAATGGGCCGTTTTTTTTGCGAAACTTCAAATGGTCACATTTTTGCATTGCCAGAGAGTATCTATTTTTTTTAAACCACAAATATCACATAGCTCCAAATGAAGCTCTGCTTTAGTGTTGGGTCGATTCACGGCGACTATTTGAGCCATTGATTTCAGGAACAAGGAGCCAAAGAAAGAGAGGCAGCGGGATCGTGGGATCATTGGAATTGGATTCTGAAAAAATCATCCCCAAATGGCATAAGAGCTATTAAAGCAACTTTGTGAAGTACTATAATTCAGCCAGATCTATATATTGTATAGATATATATATATATGTTGCAAAGATACATCAAACTAAGAACTACGATGTTTTGCCAATGCCGGATCCATCTTTTTTTTTTCAACAGATAGCTGATATCACAGGTCCATGGACATATCAAATTTGTCGGTTTGAGAGCTACGATTTGAGTTTTTGAGATTCACGACATGATCATCATGATAATTAAGCGGTGTCCTTTCAAGCATGGAGCACTAACTGAATACTTTTGAAACATCGGATAAAAAACCACAAAAGCGACGTGGCGAAGGGAATCAGCATTTGGTAGCTTTTTTTTGTTTCACCATGGGAATCACCATTTTATATATGATCATGGAATCATGTCATTTTTGAAGGGAATCACCAATCCCTTTCAGCCAGTTTCACCACTAGGTGGTGCTTCCCTTGGATTCCCTCGGCTGGGATCGCAGGCGGAAGCGGTGCGGGATGCTCGAGAGGCCTTGAAGGAGGAACTGCGCCAGAGGCGGCCGTGAAGACGTAACGAAACTGGAAGTGCGCAGAAACTTTGGGGGATGGTATATGTATATGTGTATGTGAATGTGTATGTGTGTGTATATCTATATATATATATATCCATTCAGTTCTTTTTAGTTTCTAAATAGCCATGATGGTAAAGATTCCCATTGTGGGATGGATGTTGGTGACAGAGAGGGTACACCGAGTCATTGTGTTTCTGTTGGAGATCATTGGTGTTGCTCCCGTGACAGACTCAGTATTGAATTGCTGGTGTAAGTTCCCAAAAGAAAGGGGCTGGAATCCCTTTTTTTTGTATTGGTTGTATGTAGTGGATTCAACCACCAGGGCCCGGTTCCACCTTAGATCCCTCGCCTCCAAAATGCAGCAGCTTGTAGAATGCTCAGCTCGTTTTCGCCATCGCCAAATGTCTTCAGCTGCAAATGGAAGCTAAAAGGTAGCTGCGGGTGACAGCCATTGAATTGGAATTGAAACATGCTGGCACATGAAATCAAAAGAAAATGGGTTATGTACTGGAATATGTTTGGCATCCAGCACTCCCCCTTTGACATGCCGACAGGCAATGTCAACTTTGAAAGATTTGGCCAGCTCAAGCTACCTATCAAAACATGCAGTGCAAACGCTAAAGGTGGTCGCTCCTTCAGCTCGACTGCACATTGGATTTGAATGTGCATCAGAATCCCAGTTCGTCATAAACATCGCAGCTCCACGTGATGGAAAAATGCCAGATTGAACAGCTTCTTTCCTGCATTCCAAACACCACTTTCGATTCCTTTTGGCACCGGTCGCCGTGGCAGTTAAATAACGGCAACTCCAGTGTGAATGATATACCGTTCCGCACTTCGTTGTGATGACCAAAAACGGCAGATCCACTGTTTCATATTCATTCAACTGCTGGTGAGGCGGTCCAAGTAGAGGATGTCCGGGGTGCGCACGATTCAGCTCGGCTGTTACCAGCCTTTCTTCACGTTCAATCTCATCCCATTCACGTAGGATGTCGCGTTGAGGCTCTGATGTTGATGATGTTGGCCCTTCTGGTTGATCATGTGGTAGCGGAGCTTCATTTCCCCGCAAATTTCTTTCTGGTTCTTGTGCACGTCGTTGAACTCGTGGTAGCTGAGCATGTGAATCTCGTGGTAGCGGAGCATGTTGGTCTGGTAGAGGAGCAGTCGGCATCGCCGATGATCGTCCAGTCTTTTCGATGGAGCGGCCTGTGATTGGTGCCGCCGTTGATCGCAAAGGTTCCCTTGAGGAAGAGCTTGTAGATCTTCCCACAGCGCGTCCAGGGTGACTTCCAGGTTGAGCAAGCACATGCTGTCGCAGAAATCTCGCTCCCCGTACTCCAGCTTCCCAAATTCGCTGTGCCATCAAAGTTATGAAGACCACCGCAAAGGTGTAGAGAACGATGACCTCAAAAGATACCGTCTCTTCAGCTGCTTCTCCATCTTTTTCCGCTTTCGAGATCGACATAGTCGCTGCCATGGTGATCAAACGAAGTACTTGAGCAGCTTCGGCCAAAAATTGGCCATCTTTGTTGGCCTTACGGCCGTCCTGCTTTTCACTTCGCTTTTCTCCTTCTTCCTTCTTTCTTTCTTTCTCCTCAACTTCAAATTTCTCTTTCTTTTCCAACTTCTCTTCGTCTTCAATCTTTTCTTTTCCCTCCAACTTTTCTTCAACTTCAACCTTCTCTTCGCTTTTCATAGGCAGGCTGCCCATGCCCATGAGCTTTTTCAAAAACTCAAAACGCACTGATGACAGGGGTTTGGTGCCGATGTCGGCCAGCATGTACTCTCCTGCCACATGTTGTGTTGACCACTCGCCTGCCAGAATGGACTGCCTGGCAAACGAGCATCTCAAGCGCAAATGGCGGGTTCGCCAATTTCCACCTTCGTTGGCCAAAATGGCCTGTGCAGACATGCTGTCTGTTTTCACCAGCTTGGAGACCTTTGGGAACAGCTCGGCAAGGATGACAAAGATTGACTCCCCTGCTATCATCCCCTCCACGATCTCAGTCAGCTCGGCCTCTGCTGTGCTGAGGGTCACAAATCCCTGTCTTCCAGACCGCCAGAAAATGGGTGTGGCTCCCAACATCACTATGAAGGACCCATGAGACTCCTGGGAATCCGGAGCAAAACTGGCATCAGTGAACACCGTGAGGACCGGGTGTTCGTTCTCACCAACCTTGAAGATCAGGCCCTCATTGGATGTAGCCTTCAAATAGCCTTTGAGCTGGATTGAGGCCTTCAGCACTGCTTCAGGGGCTTTCGTCACTGATGACCCCATTCGGGCCACTGTGAACATAATGTCCGGTCTGGCACGGGTGGTGAGCCAGAGGACTTCTCCAACGGCCTTCTGAGCCGCACGAATCATCTCTGTGGTGGGAGCTTCCGTTGATGGCTCCATTTGAGATTGGTCCCTTGAGATGGGGATCTTTTTGGCCTTGAGGTCGGTTTCCTTCTGCACCATGTCGGTGGTGTAGCTCTGCTGAGTGACCATCCAAACTTCACGTTGTAGTTGATCACACCATGTCTTTGAGATTTCAACTCCAAGAAAACGCACTGGAGTTTCGCCAACCATCTCCGGGGTTGAAGTGCTCCATGTCGTTCGAAGCTTCTCCTGGATGATGTTGAGCAAATTGGGAGACGACGCCAGCATGAGGTCGTCCACGTAGGTCATCAGCATCGCATAGGTGGTGGTATCCTCATCATCATTGGAGTTGACAAGGCGCCACAAGTTGGGTTCTGACTGCAGGGCTTCAAAGTGGAAGTCCATGTTCTTGCCGTTGTACTCCCCCTGGATTTCTAGGGACGAGATGGTCTCATCTCTTGTGATGCCCCAGAGCTTCGGTGACCGTCTCAAGCCGTAGATGGCCTTCTCAGGGAGGTAGTACACATCCTTCCGAAGGTAGGCTTTCTCTGTCAAAAGCCAGGGAGGTTTGACAAGGATCACATCCTCATCTTCAGAGAGCACCATTTTGGCATTCAAAAATGCCGTTCGAACATCCAGAACTGAAGCGCTCCATTGGAAAAGCGCTGCGCACCACACCAAGATCCTCAGTGATGCTGCATCAGCTCCCGAGCTGAAGTTGTCCTCGTCCTCCTTCTTGGGTTCGAGGTTGCCACAAGCCACCCACCTCATCTTTTTGCGACCTCCGTCAGGACCAGGCTTTCGAGTGAAGACCAGCTTTGAAGGAATGAACTCGATTCCTTTTCCAGCCTTTTCTGCTTCTTGTCGTAGTTGAGAAAGTTCTTCAGGTCCAATCTCCTTGAAGGCCTGCTTGTCATAGAGAAGTGAGTCGACCTCGCTTTTGACCGCTGGAATCCAATCTTGCCAGTGATCAGAAACCTCTTTTGGCGACACAATCCGTGTCTGAAGAACTTCTTCTTCTTCATTCGGCACAGATGCCATCTTTCTGATGTTGGCCAAGATCTGAAACTCTTCTTTGGCCAGCTCGGGGTCGTCATCGACCATGAGGCACATCTCCTTTTCAATCAGGCGGAGCATGCACACTCTTCGTTTCTTTTCCTCCTCCTCTTCTTTACCTTCTCTGTCCTCCTCTTGAAGCTTTCTTATCGTTGATTTCCCTCTCATCCTTCTTCTGACAGCTAAGGCATCCAAGGACTCTCGCTCCAAAGCCATCCACTGTTCCTCAGCCACTGGAAGGTGCGTCGCCTTCATGATGAGCTTGGTGATCCTCGGAGCTTCGTCCTTTGGCTTAACCCAGTGTCCATGTTCTTCAGGAGCAGGACAAAGATACTTCACGATCTCTGTGGAAGTTTCGAAGGTTCCTCTCCTCCATCTTCGCTTTCTGACCATGATGTCGGAGAGAAAAGGAGGGTAGTCAGGGGTCTTTGCAAGCCTGACTGAACGGTTGAGCTCGTTGACATATCGTGTCGCCCAAGGCCACCATGTTGGTTCTGCTTGTGCCTGAAGTAGGATCCTCCTGACTTGTGTTTTTATGGACTTCACTGCCGTCTCAGCACGTCCATTGGCTCTTGGATCGTCTCCTGGCGTCCTTGTCAGAAGAACTCCTCTTTCTCGGCACCATCTTTTGAAATGGCCTTGAAATTCATGGCCCTGATCGCTGTGGATATGGCCAATGTGGTACCCGTCAGCTCGAAGACGGAGCATCATGTCCATCACCGCTCGGGTGACTTCAGTTGCCTTCTTTGAGTACATAGGAGCCGCAAGACGAAAGACTCGTGTCTCGAACTCCTCCTTTTCTTCTTCTTTTCTTTCAGCCTCACCCTCTGGGGCCCTTTGACGCTCCTCATCTTTTGGAACTTCATCCTCACCCTCTGGGGCCCTTTGATGCTCCTCATCTTCAGGAACTTCATCCTCAAAGATTCCCTGGGGCTGCTCTTGAGGTTGATCATGTTGATCTTCGATTGGAATCACTTCTTCGTCCTTTCTGGCTTCAAAGTTTGGGGCTTCGCCTTCAAGTTCTGGTACTTCTTCTTCTCGAATCTTGGAGTCTTTTGGCACCGTCCAAGTGAGAGCGCCAACCAAGATGTATGCAGACTGGTAGCCACCTGCATCATAGGCTCTAATGAAGGGCCCTGTTGTGTCGATGGACAGGACTCCTCCCAAGGGGTGCTTCACTTTTCTGTGAGGCGGTTGTTGTTGTAGAGATTGTTGACACACCAGACAGTCCCTCCTGAAAGGTATGTGTCCATGTCGTAGATGTTCTTCCCATGACAAAGAAGAAACCTTTGGCTGCCGATTGACGACTTGAGTCAGAAGTGCCTCAGCCACCATGTTCATCACACCTGGGGCCCATCGAGACAGTTCTGCTGACGATCTGATTGTAGTAGAGGAAGTCTTTTTCATTCGGTGTTCTTCTGGACGCAGCTCCAAGTTTCCTGCCATCGTAGTGGGTTTTGTGGCTGCACCTCCATGATGTCCCTGGCAAAAGGTGGTCTCAGAGAACTCAAATTCTTCCTTCAGCTTTGACCACTCCTCAGTATCCCAGAAAGACACACATTGGGGCATGTAGCTT